CATTGCCTAAGAGGATCTAAGTCACTTTGACACAGAGAAGTGGCCTCAATTTCCAATACAGGGCAAAGCTTCAGAAAACAGGCTTCTGGACAGCATTTTCAAAGAAATAGGACTCCGCGCCCATTGTGCAGTCCAGGCCTGATGTTGACCCCTTTACACAGCCCTGCTCTGAATCTGTCAAAACGCTGTTTCATTTAAACTTCATCTGAACGCCATACTTCCCCAGAATCCTACAATAGTTCTCTTTTCCTCTGTTTGGTGAGATGCCCCACAGCTTCTCTGCTGTGCGATCTCCCTCATTGCAATGAAACAATAGATCTGATTTTGCTGGACTACAGGTTTGTTCCTGGTTGTCTTAGGCTGATTGGGCTTGAACACTGTCTTGCTCAGCTTCAAGGCTCCTAAAATTGCGAATTTTGAGAACAGATGTAACACACATTTTGTCATCGCTAAACAAACATGCACCTGTCCTGAAGACTATCATGCCAGGCTGGTCATATCTGGGGTTGGTTCACGTCTCGTAAAGGTTACAGAAACAAGTAAGGATGTCAGGGGTTCTCGGTAGGTTCTGGTTCACTTCTTGAACGTGCTTAGATTCTTTCTCTTCCACAAACGTTTTGTCTGCTAAGCTGACACTTCCATCTCCAGCGACTGAGGAAAAAAAAAATGAGATATATCTACTCAGCTGAAGCTGTCAGGAAGGCTGGGTCCAGCTGGTTACAGGCAGACAGCCCTGACACCCGAAGGGACACTGGGACACTGCCAGACAGTGGGTGTGCCGCTGCCCTCCCCTGCGCCCATAGCCGGGACCAGCGCTACCGGTCCGCTCGGCGCCCACGGCAGGAATCCGGAGCTTGGCGCCTGCCCCGCCCCTCCAATCCATTCCTTCGCACAGATAGGGCAGGAGGCGCGGCTTCCAGGAGTGGTAGAGGTAAAGACCAGCAGAAACCTCCCAAGTCTAGGATGGCCTTCCAGCTGCTACGTTTGCTGCAGGTGCGGACCGCGGGTCGCCCTTCCTCTGGCTGATGGGACGAGCAGGGACGCGTTCCCGCATGGGCATGGCCTGCAGGTAGAGAACGAAAGGGCTGAGACCGCGTTCTAGGCTGCCATCTTGGTTCCTGGCATTGTACTTATGTTGCCCTTCCTTTCGGCGATTGGACGAACAGGGACGTAGCCGCCCAACCAGAGCTATGCGTTGGCTTGGTTTGGACCAGTCGTCTGGTTTCTGATGTCTGTAGTAACTAAAGGTATCCCGCTTATTCCTGAACGGCTGCGACCTGCCGAGGCAGACAGGCTTGCTTGGAGAGTTACAGAGCACCAGAGAAATCTGAAAATAGCCTGGGGCTGCTTGGGAGGGGCTCAAGGATGTGCTGCAGTTCTTCAGGAGAAAAGAGTGGCGAGGGCATTCTATAGAGGTGGCCCACCTGCATGAAAAGCCACGGGACTCGTCACTAAAACGATATAGGGTGGGGGACGCCGAACGGCACGAGAGAAAAAGCTGGGAAGGCATGTTAATGTGAGACTGGGGAAGACCTTGAATGCCACGCTAGGGAGTTTGGACTTCATCCTGTAGAATAGGTGGTAAAAATTGGCATTTGGAGGACTTTAAAGAGGAGTGACATAATCAGATAATGTGATTTAGAAAAATAATTCTGGAACTGTGTAGAGAATCCCAAAGTGTTTCCCAGTGCGTCCAGTGAGCCACTAGGGGAGTTTGTTTTTAAATGCAGATTCCTGCCCCTCCCTAGACCTGCAAATAAAATTTTCTAGGTGTAGAGCCAGAAAATGACATTAAATTTTTTTTTGATGTTAGCATACATTTGCGGGGGGTGGGTGGAGGAATGCACAAGTCAGAAAAGTAAACCAAACCAAACCCATTGTCATTGAGTCAATTCCGACTCATGGTGACCCCATGTGTTACGGAGTAGAACTGCTACATAGAGTTTTCTTGGCTGTAATCTTTACAGAAGCAGATTGCCAGGCCTTTCTTTCATGGCTCCACTCAGTGGGTTCAAACCACCAACCTTTAGGTTCGTAGCTGAGCTCAAACCATTTGTGCCACTCAGGCGCCTCAAAATCAGAAAGGTACAGCTTCAAATTTTCACAACTCAACAGAGCCATAAGGAGCAGCCAGATAAAGAAATAGAACACCAGTAGCTCAGAAGCCCTCTATTCCCCTCCAGCCCCTCCTGCCTGCCAAGGGTAAACATGATCATTACTTTTAACAACCAGATTATTTTGCCTGTTTTTGAACTTCATATAAATGAAATCATACAGCGCATACTCTTTATGTCTGCCTTCTTTCACTCAGTGTTATGTGTGAGATTCATCCATATTGTTCTGGGAAGTTGTTTATTCGCTGTCATTGCTGTACACTACCATGATTTATCCGTTCTCTTATTTATGGGCCTTTTGGTAGTTTCCAGTTTGGAGCTATTGCAAAAAAAATGCTGCTATGAACATTCTTACTCATGCCTTTTGCTTTGTAAATTATAAAGTAAGATACCAAGGCCTTAAGATTAATTCATTCACTACCCACTTATTGAGATGCTACCAAGCACTGTGCTAAGATCAGGAAAATAGAGAAAAAGGCCAAAGTACTGCCCTCATGGAATTTATATTCTAACTGGCACAAAACTGTAGCAACCCAAGTGGACAGAAAAGTAAGTTAAAAATTGCAATTGTGGTAATAACTCTGAGGGAACCAAAAGGCCAAACTAGAAAATAAGAGGGTTGCGGCAGGGTAGGGGTACCTATTTTTTACAGGGTAGCCAAGTAAAGTGTCTGAAGAAGAGATATCTGGGAAAAATGCACTGCCAAGCAATGAGTGTCAACAGAGGGAAGAACATTCCTGGCAGAAGAAACATCATGTGGAAAGGTCATGGGCCAGGAGAGTTTAGTCTGTTCAAGCTCAACGTGGCTGAAAGAGTGTGAAGAAGGGGAATGAGGGTGTGATTAGATATAGGATCATATGATGCTGGGCCTTGTAGGCCAGAGTAAGGAGTTTACATTTTATTCTCATACTGTGGAAAGCCACTGAAGTGTGTTAAACAGGAAAAGTGATGTGATCCTAATTTACTTGTTTAAAAAGATCCTTATGGCTGCTGAGCAGAGACTAGATTAAAGGGGGGCAATGGAGAAGTGGGTAGGTCACTTAGGAGGCTATTGGAGTACTCCAGGCAAGATATGCTGGTGTAGAGCCTACAGGTAATGCTTGAAATACATTTGGAAATTGTCAGCAAAAAGATCACCACGTTAACCAGTAATAAAAGGTAACACCACCAAGTTGAGATAGAGATTATGTGTGTTCCGATGTTAGGCATCAAGCACACAGTGTTTCTGCTAAAAATGCATAATTTAGGCACGAGGAGAACCCAAATAAATCCAACTTGGGGGACATTCTATATGCTATAAAGGTATAACTATGCTATACCTTTTGAAAACATCAGTAGACTAGAGACATGATAACTAAATGCAACATATGATCCTGCATTGGATCACGGACCAGGAAAAACATTTTTTTTAAAATTTACTCTAAAGGACTTTAGTGGGGTAACTGATGACATTTGAATAAGGTCTGCAGGTTGGATAATCCTAGTGTATCAACATTAATTTCCTGATTTTGATCATTATATTGTGATTATTATTTTACTTAGATCCACAATCAATGCCCATGGAAGAAGCAGTTAAGAAATCATATTGCACAGGGCAAATCTGCTGCAGAAGACCTCTTTAAAGTGTTAAAAAGCAAAGATGTCACTGTGAAGACTAAGGTGAGCCTGACCCAAGCCATGGTATTTCATATCACTTCACATGCATGCAAAAGCTGGACAATGACTAAGGAAGACCAAAGAAGAATTGATGCCTTTGAATTATGGTGTTGGTGAAGAACATTGAATATACCCTGGACTGCCAGAACAAACAAATCTGCCTTGGAAGAAGTACATCCACAGTGCTCCTTGGAGGTGAGGATGGCGAAACTTCGTCTTATGTACTTTGGACGTGTTAGCATGAGGGACCAGTCCCTGGTGAAGGACATCATGCTTGGTAGAGTAGAGGATCATCAAAAAAGAGGAAGACCTTCAATAAGATGGACAGACACAATGGCTGCAACAATGGGCTCAAACATAGCAGTAATCGCGAAGATGGCACAGGACCAGGCTGAGTTTCGTTCGGTTGTACATAGGGTTGCTATGAGTTGGAACCCATTTGATGGCACCTAGCAACAAAAACAACAACACTGTGATTATTTAACGGACTCAAACATATCAAACATCATGAAGGTGGGGAAGAACTGGGCAACGTTTTGTACTGTTACACATAAACTATGGGACGGCAGCTAACAACACCGTGATTATTTAAGAGTTTTTAGAAAATACACATGCTTGTTTTTAGAAAGTACACATTAACGTGTTTAGCGCTAAAAGGACATTATGTCTGCAATGTACTCTCAGAAAAAAATGACAGAATGATAAAGCCAATGTAGTAACATGTTAACATTTGGAGAATGTAAGAAAAGGATTTGTAGGAATTACTTGCACTAGTTTTGCAGCTTTTCTGTAAGTCTGAATTACTTCAAAATAAAAGGTTAAACAAAATTACCGGGGTCATCTGGGGAGAGAACGTGAGGAGAGAAAAAAAAGCAATATTAAGTCATGAAGAACACCAGAATTTAGACAAAACTCGGCGAGTAAAAGGAAAAGATGGAAAAATGTTGAGCAGAATTCAAAAGGGATACGAACAGAGTATACAATGGAAGTCACTGGCTTCTGTGCTCTTCATCTTCAACCTAGAGACTGCAACTCGCCGTCCCAGATCACCGAACGCAACTTCATTCCACAGGTCCGGGGCGGCCAGTACCTAGCCGGCTCCGCCATGTTTTCACTGTGAGCATGCGTGCGTGCACTCACCTCCTCGCCAACCAATCGGTGCCCACGTCGGCGCCTCGCTAACCGAAAGGGCGGGGCTGGCCTGCTACACATGCGCACCATCGGGCGGGCCTTCTTCCTTCTCGCCGAACGCCGCCAACATGGTGAGTATCGCTGCAGCTGGCTTCAGGTCTGGTGGCCGGGCTGCTAGACCTCCTTCTCGGCCAGGGTGCTGAGGCGCAGAACTGCGTCCAGAGAGTTCCGGGCAGCGCGTGATGAGGGTCCCTGGACAGGCGGTGCGCAGGGTTCGGGCTCTCCCGGACGCGGCGGCCCGCGAGCCGGCGAGCGCGTGGAGGGCCCGGCGCGCCTTGGGCCATGCGTGCGCGCCGCCGGCGCTGGATGATTGAGGCGACCCGTGGCCTGGCTGGCCCCGGGCGAGGAAGTGTAGGCCCCTTCCTTAGTTCTGGAGGCTGGCAGAGCGGGGCTTTCTCCTCCGCCACCGCCCCTGCCGGCTTCTCTGCCCAGGTTTGCCCCCGGCGCTTGGACGTTTCCCCTCACGTTTCCTGTCGCTGCTCTCAGCCACGTTGTCTTTGACCTGCGGAATCTTATAAACCTGAATGCAGTTTGAATGTTCCTCCCCCCTCCCCCGTTTTAGGTGTTCAGGCGCTTCGTGGAGGTTGGCCGGGTGGCCTACGTCTCCTTTGGGCCCCATGCCGGGAAACTGGTCGCGATTGTTGATGTTATTGATCAGAACAGGGTAAGTGTAAGGAAAAATGTGATATCTGTTACTTGGTGAACGGTGGATACCATAGGTGGGAGTACCCAGTATGGTGGCTTTACGTTACTATTTAGAAAACGGTAGGACAGACTTGAGTCAACCAGGACTACTTGGTTTGAAGGCATCATACGAAGGCTGTGAACCAACTAAATCAAAGGCTTGAACGAACATAAAATTGTTCGCTAGAAATGTAAGGACTAAAGACTTAAAAATTGCCAAGGATATTATATGTCATTTGCTTGTATGTTGTACTAATAGTTTAAAATAATTGCTCAGAACGCATTTAATGATGTAGAAGAGTGATTGTGTTGAGCAAAAAAACGAGGATATGATTCAAGTTGATTTTTAAAGACTGCCAAAAGATAGGATAATCTTTATCTGAGCGGTATATTTAAGTAGTAGTGGGGATAGAATATCTGTCCTTTTTGATTACTATCATGTTTTGTAGCGAGATCCTTTATCTTACGTATTTTAGGCTTTGGTTGATGGACCTTGCACTCAAGTCAGGAGGCAGGCCATGCCTTTCAAATGCATGCAGCTCACTGACTTCATCCTCAAGTTCCCACACAGGTAATTATTGGAATTTCTCTTTCTCTTTGTTCTTTTTTGAAGTCATAGTAGTTTAATAAAGCATAGAGTGTATAAACACATATGTTCTTTGTTCTGTTAGCATGTAATGGAAGAAAAATGGCTTTGTTCACATCCTGTTTTCTGGACATTTTTTACAATGTAAAATTCAAGGCTGTGCATTCCAAGTAAAAGCATTTCTCAGTACCTTGAATCACTAAGAATTAAATAACTCAACATTTTCAATAGAAAACTCAATTTTCTGAAGTATCACATCTCATTCCCTTCCAGGGACATGCCACCCTACTCGTGGCTTCCCTGTCTGGGCTATTTATACATCAGCTGGGGAGGATTGTGTCTCTTAAGAGGAAAGCATAGAACCAGGCCTTAAGACCATGAAGTTCTAACCTCTTATTTTTCCTGTTAAAAACCGTTCTTTTAGATGAAGTATTTCTCTAAGCACAGACTGGATTGAAATAGCAGATTTTGTGATTTCCTAGAAATGGCGTAGTATTATACAGCATGTTAAATGTATTCGTTTCTGTAGGGTGGTTGACATGTGTGAGAAGTGGTTTTGGTCCTTGTGGATGGTCTTTTGTAATTTGAATGATCTCCCATTGCTTTTTTTAAACTGGGAAGCACAAGCATCTTTCTCTGTTTCGATGCAACAAAATCATATCCATATATGTAAATCATTAATATGAAAACCTTTTTGCCAGCCGTATTTATGTGTCGTTTGGATTGTAGGCCATGCTTGGCACAGCAAAGAGTTATCCCTTGTAAGTTCTCCTTGTTTTTTATACAGTAAACAATACTGAAGATTGAGAGTGATTCAGAAGAGATTTACATTGTAGAAGGAGAACAAGCATCATTTAATTTTAAAATGTTGTCAATCACTTTTCCACACTGGGTAGTTCTCTGGCCTTTATTTAGCCACAGAATCTAAATTTTCTCTTCGGATCCCCCTTTCTTTCAGGATTTCAAACAACAAAGCCCTCCCTAAGAAATTGTGGTCTCTCCCTGAACCTATTTTAGTTACTTTTTGCTTTAAAACAAAAATATTAACTCTGTCTCTTTCAATACTAGGTATTATTAGCTGACTGCTTACTGTGTGTTATTTTTTGTTGTAAAAATATAATGTGACACTTGACAATACATTATTCACGTGTACAGTTCAGTGACACCAGTTACATCAATCATGTGCAGCCATCACCAACATCTGTTGCCTACCGTGTTATTTAAGTAATATGCATCACCTTATTTGATTGACACAGTGTAGATTATAGAAATAAAATAAAACATTATATCAAATGGCCAACAAACACGTGAAAAGATGCTCAACAAAATCACGATCAGATATTTCACACCCACTAGGATTGGGTATGATTAAAAGAAGAAAACAGCTTTTGGTGAGGATGTAGAGAAATTGGGACTCTCCGTCCATTGCTGATGGAAATGTAAAGTAGTACAGCCACAGTTCCTCAGAATTACCTTATGATCCAGCAACTTAAATGTCCATCTATAGATGAATGGAAAAACAAAATGTGCATACCTGCAATGGAATATTACTCAGCCATAGAGAAATGAAGTCCTGATACATGATCAACATGTATGATGAATGAACCTATTACCACTGTATTCCAGAAGATGTTTGTACCATTGTATTCACTATTCCATTTTTTTCCCTCTACTGAAACAGTGGGGTAGAAAGGTGTATTGTAAACTCAGCACTTCAAATAGTTAGTGCCTAGCATATGCATCGTAGACATGCAGGTACTGGTGTTTGAACAGCTTTTCAGTCTCAGTCTGAAGTGAATGGATATGTCAATGGTGCTGCTTTTAGTTCTTGTAGGAGAGGTTACGGAAAACACATTTGCCAGGGTAGATACGTGTATATGAAATGTTAGTGTTATCAGATAACCTTTCCAAGGTCAGTAGGTTGCACCAGAAATGATGGTGCCTATTTTCCCACACCTTCCCCCAGAACTGGATGTTAGCCCTTGGCATGGGTGAACATTTGTTGTGATACGTAAATTTTCATTTCCATAACCGCAGGTGAATTTGGGCATCTGTTACTGTTGACCATTTGCATTTCTTCCGTGAAGAGGCAGTTAAACTAGTGAATTTCTAGTCATGGATTATTGATGCAGGAGTATGGCCCGAGACTTTTTTTTGTCCATCTGGTTGCCGTGGGTTGGAATTGAGTTGGTGGCAGTTAACGACATTGAGTACAACATTGTTTTGAAGCACAGTTAGGGATCAATCTTGGGGATACTTGTCTAACTTCATGGCAGCAAAGGAGTTTCTGGTGGCATATCTTTTCAGAGCATTCTTACAGATGTCTCATGAAATTCTCTGTCTTAGGACTGGTGCACACTGGTCTTAACTAGGTTTTGTGTGGGTTTTTGTTTTAAGCATACAGAGTTTTGATACTTTGAAATATTTGCATGTGAAATAAATTTCGAAAGGTCATAATTGAATTTTAGGGTATTTGTGAAACTTTAAGCATTTGTTGCACAAAATAAAAATATTAGACCTAAGAATTAACTTTGCCCTGCTCTTTATAAAAAGGAAATAATTTTCTACACGTCCACTATTCTGAGTGGTATTATTACGTACATGGTTAAAGGTGATTTTTATGTCTATAAAATGGACTGGTTTGCAGTTTGGATTAAAATTGTTCAACTTGAAAGCTGATGCCTTGATCTGTGGTCCTGACTTTTCTAGTGCCCGCCAGAAGTATGTCCGACAAGCCTGGCAGAAGGCAGATATCAGTACAAAATGGGCAGCCACAAGATGGGCCAAGAAGATTGAAGCCAGAGAAAAGGTAATGACTTGGAATTATTTGAATAATTCTGACCTTTTCTTTTTTTAGAGGGCAGGAAGGTGGTTCCAGAGGGATAATTTGTTTTTTGTTTTTTCATTTTACAGAAAGCCAAGATGACGGATTTTGATCGTTATAAAGTCATGAAGGCAAAGAAAATGGTAAAGTTTTAAAGTTTTTAGTGAAAGTACACGTTTTAAATTACGATCTGCTTAGTTGTGTAACTTTGCTCCAGGATAATAAGGGAACAGTAGCCAGTGCTGGTAGCCCCTTGAGTGCTTTGTGTGAAAAGGAAGAATTTATTCTCATTCATTATATTTTACCCTGTCCTTAAGGAATTCGCAGCCAGTCAACCAGAGGGTCATTGGAATTTTGATTAAAACTGAACCCTATTGGAATTGTAGAGAAGGACTGGTGAATAAATGCCTTTTTAAAAAAGATTTCTCAACCTATGTCTTTAGCATTTTAGCTTAAATCTGCTAAATGTAATTCCAGAGGTACCTAGGATGTTGTGTGAGTAAAATGTCTTTGCTAGAGATGGGAAATTTTAGAATTACGGGATTATTTGTAGTCCAGTCCTAGGGTTCTTTGTATACATGTGCAACAAATACTTTCCTGCTTTGAAATTTTTCAGAGGAACAGAATAATAAAGCATGAAGTTAAGAAGCTTCAACGGGCAGCTCTCCTGAAAGCTTCTCCCAAAAAAGCAACTGCTACAAAGGGAGCAGCTGCAGCTGCAGCAACAACTGCTGCAAAGGTTCCAGCAAAGAAGGTGACCACTGCAGGCAAGAAGGCTCCTGCCCAGAAAGAAAAGGCAGCAGGCCAGAAGGAGAAAGCTCCAGCTCAGAAGGCTGGGCCTCCAAAAGCTCAGAAGGGCCAGAAAGCCCCAGCCCAGAAAACACCTGCTCCGAAGGCATCGGGCAAGAAAGCATAGATGGCTGTTATAAAAGTAATAAAGTTTCTTTTTGACATGCTGACAATGTTTGCACCTATGGATTAAAGCCTGAGGCTGAGGCCAGGATTAAGAGGCCGGATGATGGTGGAATTGTTAACTCCATCCTTAGAAAAATCAGTTCCTTTGTCCCACTGTAACTTAACTCAATTGAGTAGGTGGTTAAAATGTGAATCTCTTGATGCTTGAGAGTATAGTAAACTTGTCCTATGAAAATACCACTACAGGAAAAGAACTATACAAATTGGTTGGTTACTTGCAATTTTCAGTTTCTTTGTATCGTAATGTTGTTGCACTTGAATACTAAGGTGGATTTCAGTACAGTAAGGATAGATTACATCTTCGTTATTTTAAGATCTACAGGGTTGGGAAATTAGGGCTATTTTTAACGTAGAGAAGTCCTTGGGTGGTGCAAACTCGGTGGAAGTGAGTCCACCCAGAGGCACCTCTGAAGCAAGGCCTGGCTGTCTACTTCGTATCTCCGGTCTGTTGGCTGCAAGAACATCAGAGTTGGAACAAAGGTTAGCCGGGGAGATGAATTTTAAGACACTGGGCTATCCAGATGGACATGCAAAGAAGTATATAACATGTTTAGGATTTGAAATCAGACAACCTGGATTTAGATCTTAAAAGCAGATTCTGTGTGTAACTTAGTCATGTTTCTTTAAAGCCCCACTTTGCTCATCTGTGGTATGTTTAATAGGATAACTAATGAATAGCCAAGTGGATGGCTTATGGTAAGGACCCTGATACCTGTGACAGGAGGAGGACAGATCAGACAAGACAGATTGGAATTTGTGGGCATGTATATGGTCATGATGAGATTGTCCAGGCGGAGAGCAAACACCAATAATCAGATAAAGAAGATTGGAAGGTGTGATCAGAGGTGGGAAACTAGGAAGGCAACCATGGAAGCTCTGAAGAACATTTTGGTTGAGACTGTCTGAGAGGGCAGTGAGTGAAAAAATGTTATGGGGGTTGGAGATTTTGTAAAGTCAGAGCAACTTAATTATGTTTGACTGCTTCTGGAAAAGAAGTTAACTGGAGAAGAGCTTGGTTCTTGACAACACAGGACAGAATGGAGTCGAGAGAGGAAAAGGGATCTGCTTTAGAGGAAGAACGGAAGGGATGTTTTTCAGATGAGGAAAGGGAAGAAAAGGTGGGTTTACATGCTATATCTGCTTTCACTGTCAGGATATTGAGGGGGTTTCACTTTATTCTCTGAATTTCTTGAGTTAGGGAGCAAGGTCATATACTCAGGGAGATGAAGTGATGTAGATTGGGCAAGGACTAAAGGTTTGAAAAAGCCCAGATAGTACAATGGTTAAACACTCGGTTGCTGACCAAAAGGTTAGCAGTTTCGACCCACCAGCTGCTCTTCAGAAGAGAGATGTGACAGTCTGGTTCCATAGAGATTACAGTTTAGGAAACCCTAAGGAGCAGTTCTTTTCTGTTCTATAGGGTCTCTGAGTTGGAATCAACTCTTTGGCAATGTTTTTTTTTTTTTAAGGTTTGAAATAGTGGCTTGTGGAGGGAAGGGGAGACAATTGCTGTTAGTTTGCCAGGGGTGTTGAAGGCCCCTGTGGCTCCAGTCTGAGATGCTCAGAGGAGAACTTCAGGCTGAAAAGATGAGAAAGCTTCAAGATGGAAGCAGCATTCAAGCTGCACCTAGAAAGTAGTGTGACGTAAAACAGTGGAAATTGGAAATTTCAATCTAAGGGACCTGCAGAAAACTAACTGAGGCATAAGGCACCTGAAAGAGTAGGAGGAAAAATTAGTAAGGTAGGGCCAAATAATAGAGGATTTTGAACTAGGGAGAAATCTTCAAAAAGATAAATCTGGCATGCAGTCTGGATTGAGGTGGGGGAGAAGACCATGAAGCTATTAAAAAATCGAGATACATAATAGTCCACTTTGATTATAGAGAACTACACGCTTGTCCAGTTATGCTCGCTAGAGAAGGGAGGGTGGCATAGGACAAGAATACTAATTCAGAGTTAGAGCCAGGTTTAAATCCAATCATTCAGCCTGAGCTCATTCTTGAGCCTCATAAGGCTGTGGTACAATGAATTTCTTAATATGGCCCTTCTAGCCATGGTCTTTGTGACTCAGTGACTGAGTGGGACTACCCAGATAAGGTATATGGAAGCTATGATGGTTGGGGTTATGTGTTAACTTGGCTAGGCCATGATTCCCAGTATTGTCTGCTTGGCCTCCATTTTATGTGTTGTGGATCCTCACCCCTACATGTTGATGAGGCAGGATTAGTATAAGGTGTGTCTTGGATTGCAGCCTTGCAGGGGGGTGTGACTCAAGCCCCACCCTTACTAAAGTTATACCCTTTCCTGGGCTATGGCCTGGTGAGGCTCACTCTCCATCTGGATGGTGCGTCCAGTTTGTGATCAGTTGACCTCTCCCAGAGGCCCTGACCTGCCGATTCACCAGCCTCCACAGACCGTTAGGCTTGTGGCCTACTGTGTGACTTGATTCACCAGCTTCTGCAGCCCTGTGAGCCAGCAGCCTGTGGTCTGAACTGCCAGTTTGGGTTCATCAGCTCCTGCAGCTGTGTGGGTCGGGAGAACCCTGTGCCTGACCCATGAATTTGGGACTTGCCAGCCTCGACAACCACGTGAGCCATTTCCTTGACGCGGTTCGTGAGTTCTGTGAGATGTTGCAGTGAATTAGGGAACCCAAAGATGGGAGGGAGAGTACTGAGGTGGGAGGGAGTAGTTGATGTTAGAGATGATGGAGTGGTACAGCAGCTTCGAAAAGTTGGACATTTGGGACATCTTTAACCTCTGCCTCATAGGAACCAGTTTTGTGCTGATTCTTATAAAAGAAATGATTCATTTAGAGCCTCATCTAAAAAATAGCTACTGATACCTGCCTTGTACAAAATTGTGACAAGGATCAAATGAGATGTTTGTGGCAGCGAGGACAGAGTCTATGTCTTCAACACCTAACACAGTTGTTTTCATACCTTAAAGTGAAAAACCAAACCCATTGCCACTGAGTTGATTCTGACTCATAGCAACCCCGTAGGACAGAGTAGAACTGCCCCATAGAGTTTCCAAGGCTGTAAATCTTTACGGGACTGTCACATCTTTCTCCCCCGGAGGGGCTGGTGGGTTTGAACGCCGACCTTTTGGTTGGTATCCAAGCGCTTTAACCACTGGGCCACCAGGGCTCGGTAAGTGAGAGGCAGGGGCCATAAATTCATTAGGAAGTTAAATTACTGCCAGGAGTGTTAGAACCAGAATTCAAGGCCCGTGCTTTTTCACTACATCACAAGAAGTATAATGTGGGTTGCCTCTCCTTGAGGAATTTATCGTCTAGTTAGGGGGATAAGACATAAGAAAATAATTGAGAATCAGGCGCCGTAGCAGTCGCTGGTGGAGTCTGGTTTGGGGGAACCATGGAGAAGGGCCAGCCTCCCGGCTTCCTAGAGAGGTGCTGGGAGCGGCTGTCAGCTCGCGCTTCCGGTTTGGCTACAGTCTGCGGGGCTGCGGGGCGCTCTGGGTGAGCGGCCCAGAGCTCGGTGGCCCTGTTATCCCATGATGGCCCGGCCCACTCTGACCCGGAGCTTGAGCGTCCGGGCCTCGCAGACGCCGCCCGAGGGCCCGGCTAGGCTGCCCCGAGCCAGGGCCCAGCCCCCTGTCCGTGGAGGTGCGATCGACCTTCCTGCCCTGAAGAGCTGGCCTGGCGACCTCCCTCTCCCGGTACAGAGGGGTGGGGCCGGTGACGTTTGGGGTCGCCAGCTTCCTGGGGTGGAATGTTCAGATCCCTGTCAGGTCTCCTATAAGCATCAGCCACTGGGACATCGAGCGTCTTACCCTTTTCCTCTGGGGCCAGATTACCACTTGGATTTTGTCGTGCAGTCCGTAGTGGTCTAGGGGCCTCTGTTACCCTGTTTTCTTTCCAGAAGCTCGTTCTCTGGCTTTGTCTTGATCACTAGCAGCATTCAGCACATTACTTAGTAATGCATTCATAGTGGGGCCCAAGTTTTTCTTAAAAGCTGTGACTCCACTGTAGTTCTTGACCCTTGCATCACATTTTTTTTTTTTTTTTAGGAATTTGCAATTTCATCAGGCAGATATGTAGTAGAATGTACAAAAGGAGCAGTTGCAGCACTCTGTGAATCAGTGGAGAGGGTGTGGTGGGAACAGCCAAGTGTCCTAAGAATATCCGTTTCCAGTGATAGTGGTGAGGGACTGAGAGGGGAGGAAAGGTGAATGTGGGAAACAAGACAGACTCGGTCTCATCTGTGGTACTCTCGCCTCTTAGCTCTGCAGGTTCTTGCTTTTCCAAAATTAGAGGGCAGTGCATGAAGCCAGGGGTCATCAGCCATGCTCCAGATAGTGTGGCCCCAGGTGAGATGAGCTTTCTTCCAGCTTTCAGTATTCAAAACAGATATGCAAGGTCAGTGCAGGACCAGTAGCCTGACTTGGTCAGTCCTGTGCTTAGCTTTGCATCCATCAATAGAGTTATGGCAAGGAGTATATACGGGAGTTGATGAGGAAGAGTCGGTAAACTTGAGAGGGTCAGGTTGGTTGGGAGAGAGGGGAGGGCCAGCCAAGAAATTCTAGAAAATGAGAATCTACATCCACATGATTCAAAGTGCGGTCCACAAACTAGCAGCTTCAGCATCACTAGGGACCTCGTTGGAGAGGCAGAATCTCAGGCCCCACCAGAGATTTCCTGAGTCAGAGTCTACATTTTTACAAGATCTGAGGAAATAATGGGCAGATGTCTTAGTTATCTAGTGTTGCTGTAACAGAAATACCACAAGTGGGTGGCTTTAACAAACATTTTCTCACAGTTTAGGAGGCTAGAAGTCTGAATTCAGGGCGCTAGCTCTAGGGGAAAGCTTTCTCTCTCTGTCGGCTCTGGGGGAAGGTCCTTGTCGCTTTTGAGCTTCTGCTCCTGGCCTACCTTTATGTGGCTTGGCATCTCTCTTCTCCTATCTCTGCTTGCTCACTTGCTTATTTAATCTCTTTTATATCTCAAAAGAGATTGATTGAAGACGCACCCTACACTAATATTTTCTCATTAACATAACAAAGAAATACCCATTCCCAAATGGGATTATAACCACAGGTATACCAGACCCAAACCCAATGCTGTCAAGTTGATTCTGACTCACAGCAACCCTATAAGACAGAGTAGAACTGCCTCATAGGGTTTCCAAGGAGCAGCTGGTGGATTCGAACTGCCAGTCTTTTGGTTAGCAGCCAAACGCTTAACCACTGTGCCACCAGTGGTTAGGATTTACAGCACATATTTTGGGGGGGGGGGACATAATTCAGTCCATAACAGCAGGTTAAAGTTTGAGGAGTGCTGGCCTTCAGCACAATGCACAGATGAAGATGAGTCAGCACTCCCATTGGAGGAGTTTGCCCTGCAGTTAAGGTTCAGTGAGGCCACAAGTGGGAGTATTTGGAGAGTGTGGGTTGATGAATGAAGTGAATTCTTGGAGGAATGCTGAGTTTGGAGCTGAAGCCAGTGCCTTTAGCCCAATGCAAGGACTGCCTCTTACCACTATGAGACCCTCTATCCTTTGTTGGCAAGACTCCATACAGCGCTGGAAGCAGTTGTTCCTTCAGAGTTTCTTGGTGGTAGTGGATGATTTCATGGAATTTTTCTCCAGTGTCCTAGATCAGCCTGGGTGTACCATGTAATGAGAAAGCTCCATCCCAGAGACTTAAGAGCTATGTGTATGTGGTTCCTTTTTGTGGATGTTGGACCATCCGCTTCTCTTTGAGAACTTTTGCCAGAATTAGTTTCTGCCAGTCAGGAAATGTTCAGACATCAGTAGGGGCAGCCTGTTCTCTCCTGGTGCTTTGCCTGCAGTATAGTAGCCATTCCATCCGTTAGGACTAGGTTCCACTGAATATAATAGAAAACCCTGAATAACAGTGCCCTAAACAAGATAGGGGTTTTTCTCTCAGGCAAAAGAAATCTGAGGAAGGCAGTCCAGGGCTGGTGTGGCAGTTGTACTGCTATCACAGACCCACGCTCTTTCTTTCTGCTCCATTATTCTAGTGCTGGCTCTAGTGTCCAAGGCCACCTTGTGGTCCATTGTGGCTGCTTAATCTCCAGCTATCATGTCTGCATGCCAGCTAGCTAAAAGGAGGAAGAGGAGATGGCAAAAAGGCGACCCTTTTGTTGATTTGGCTTTCTTTCAGGAGCCTTCCCAGAAGTCCCTGACAGTACTTACATTTGCATCTCATAGACCACACGTAGTTGCCAGGGCTAGGCACAGCCCCAAGTAAAATTAGTGTCCTTTTATTAAGGAAGAATGGCAGAATATATATGGTTAGGGGACCATCAGTCTTTGCTACAGTCCCTATGAGGAACATTTGTTATTTCAGATCTCCTAGGAAGTTTCCCTAACCTCATCTGTGATTGTAATAAGTACTGAGACTTATATAACATTATGTGCCACATGATGTTGTAGTGCTTTACACATATTCACTCATTCCATCCTTACAAGAGCCCTAGAAGATAGGTACTACTATTATCCCAATTTTACTTATGAGGAAACTGAGACATAGAAAGTTTACATATCTCTTCCCAAGATCACACAACTAATAAGTATCAGGGATGGGGTTTGAACCCAGGGAGTCTGGCTCTAGAGCAGAGTTTCCCAACAGCAGCACTATTGACATTTTGGGTCAGATAATTCCTTGTCGTGGGGAGTGCCCTGTGCATTGTAGGATATTTAGCAGTTTCCCTGCCCTCTACCCACTAGACTCTATTAGCAGCAGCAGCATCACCACACCAAGGGATGACAACGAAAAATGTCTCCAGACATTGCTAGATGTCCTCTCGGACAAAAGTGTCTCTAGTTGAGAACCACAGCTCTACAGTCTGTACTGTTTGCCGTGGTACTGTGCTGTAACCTACTTCCTGTATAGGAGAATCAACAACTCCGCTTAATAATGGAGAAAGGAGTAAGTGCTACTACAAAGGGCAGAATCAGAGTGATCACACATGGAACAGTGCATTGAGAAGATGGATGTTGCAGAAAACAAGGAACTAAAAATGCATTGATAATTGGAGTGAAGTGTCTGAAAAGTGTGGAAGGGTAGAAGTCATTGTAAAAATGGAGTAGTGGTGGTGTCTGACCTCCTCTCACTTCACAAGGGGGAAGGAGAGTCAAGATGAACAGCCCAAGGCTGGTTCCTGTGAGGCAGATGTCTGCATGCCTCCTCTCTCCACCATCCTTACTAATTCTAACGTCCCTCCCATGGCATTCTCTGCTTCTCTGCTGGATGTAATAATTCATTGCAATGGCCACACAGAACTCACAGACCATTCTCACGATTATGGAGTTTATTAGGGAAGTAATGGGTTACAATTCAGGCTTAGGAACACTCAAAGATACAGTTCTTCCATCAGGACAGCCTCTTCCCAGCCATGCTCACAGGCACGCCTCTCCCTGGCCCTGGGCCTCTGCCCAAAGGCACTCAGTTTTCTCGTTCCAGGGGCTGGGAAGCCCACAGCGCTGTCTCCTGCTGCCGGGTCTCTCCTACCACTGCTCCTCTCCTTCTTCAGGGTTACCGCTGTCTTTCTCTGTCTGTCTCCTGCTTCCAGGAGCTTCTCAGTGTAGGTATCCTGGGTCCAAAGGGCATGCTGGCTCCTAGCTGTTCTTCCTTGGTGGTGGTGGGTTCCTCTCTCTTTCCTGCCTCTGAGGTGGCTCATTTCAAGCCCAGCGGGATGACAAAACTGACCATTCTCTTTGGTGGGTCACAAGTACCCTGTCACACAGTCCTGCCCAGTCACTTGGGTGGGAGTTACAAGACTATGGCTAGAAAGGCCACACAAAAGTGATCCATCACACCACAGTCAGAATGTGAGGAAAGAAACCGTTGACTCTGGAGGAAGTGAAGATAGAATATTAACATTTGAGGTCAGTGAAGTGTCTATTGTATACTGTCCAATAAGGTAGCCATTAACCACATATATTTATTAAAATTAAAGTTAATTAAATTTCAAAAATTCATTTCCTTATTTACACTAGCCACATTTCAACTGGCTGGTCAAGGTATTATTTCTTTACTGAATAATTACTATTTTTCCCTTGCAATGAGTAAGCAGTCCTTGGGGAGGCAGTTAAGATCATACGGATATCCTGCTTCTCATCAAAATTTCCTTCTACCTCGAGCATTTGTTCATGATTCTTACCTGAATCAATCTTTACAACAATGGTTGCAAAGCTTCTTGTACTTTTATAGTTATATTTCCTCCACCCAGAAGAGACGAAGCACAAAGAGAAGGTTGCTCACATGAAATAGATGACACTGTGTGTCAGGGAAAGTTGTTATAGTGGGACTAGTAATTTATTTAAAGGAGCCTGGTGGCACTGGTTAAGTGCTCGACTACTAACCAAAAGGTCAGCGGTTTGAACCTACCAGCCGGTCTGCAGGAGAAAGATGTGGCAGTCTGCTTCTGTAAAGACTACAGTCTTGGAAACCCTATTGGGCAGTTCTGCTCTGTCCTATAAGGTTGCTGTGAGTCGGAATCTACTTGATGGCAACAGGTTAAATTTATGTAGGTGGTCAGTTCATTTACAGTTTTTCGCTTCCTTATACAATCTTGTAATTGTAGGGGCTCAGCTAATAAATACTCAGGTAAGGAGGGCTCCCTTTAGTGTATTTCAAAGTACTTAATATCTCTGATTCCTTCCTATCATCTGAAAATGGAAATAATTCTTCACAGATGTGTGGGTCATGATTGAATGAACTGATGTAAAAGTAACTGACACAGGACAAAGCACAAAGGCCTAAACAGCCTGTGATGGTTTCCTTCTCTCTTGAGAAGGTGGAGCTGGGTCCAAGGAGGCAGAGAGAGACACACCTGGTGAAGAGGGCAGCATTGGCAGGTAGGCTAGAGCTTAGGTGATCAGGATACAGGTCTGTTTACAAGGACAGGGACTGCCAACCTGTTGCTAGAGTCAAGGATGTTAGGAGAGGAGGCCAGAAGAGGTGACACTGCAGGCTGCCTTCAAGGGAGAGCCAGCTTTCTTACAAGTAAGCTGGTAGAAAGAGGGAGAAATGTTCAGAATGAGAGGAACTCTACCCCATGGAATGGCTCCTCCCTCTGACTATAGTAGAAGATGTGGAGGGGGAAAACTAGAGAGAAGCCGAGTGGAGGGGCCTGATGGGGGCCTCAGGGTGGATGGAGGTAGGGCGAAAAGCAGACACCTGCAGTGATCATTTTAGAAAACATGCCAGAAAGATAGACCCAGCTTGTGGAACCAGACATGGGGTTGATGTGATCACCAGGTAGACAGCAGCTGGTGCTGGACTGTGTGCTTGGGATGTTAGTATTGGGGTCCCAGAGGTGTACACATTGAAAGTGGGAGCATTGGCTGCGGGCTGACTCCTCACGGGTGCTGGGAGGCTCTCCTCACCTGTATAAACCTTCTATGGGGCTCAGAACCATGGACCCTGGTAGATCCATCCCTTCCCTGGAGTTTAGGCACCTCCCTCAGGGCCTGGGAAGAATTCTGTTGTTTCAGGAGTCAGTGACCTTCAAGGACGTGGCTGTGTACTTCACCCAGAGTCAGTGGGCCAGCCTAGACCCTGCGCAGAGGGGCCTGTACAAGGAGGTGATGCTGGAGAATTATGCAAATGTGGCTTCCCTGGGTAAGGTCTCCCTTCTCTCTGAGACTCAGCCTCTGCCCTCAGAGTCACCTAGCTTCCTCCTTAGAGGATCTGGGGTCTCTAACACCACCAGGTTTGATGGTCCATGAGCTAAGTTCCCCATTCTCTAGTTTTGGGGTAACTGGATGGAGAGAAGTCTGGGTTCACTTTGGTTTTAAACAGGACTTCCTTCTTCCCTGTTTCCTGGTGGAGACTGTCCTGGGATGGACTTTGTCATGGGCACAGAGGGAATTGAGAATGTTCCTGATGCCCCACCTTCTGTTCTCTACTCTCTCGGTTCTTTGGGGGAGATCTTGCCCCCTCTTCTATGTGTGAGAGTCTCCTAGGATCTCCATGTATATACCTTCAGTGACTGTGCCAGAATAAGCTTCCCTCTGAGCAAAACAGTTTGAGCCCTTCCTTAAACCCCCAGATTCTCTTCTTACTGGTCTTACTTAGTCTCCTGTTCAAGACAAGCTAATACTACTTAATTCCACCTGGCCAAGCAGAGGGTGGCCTGAGAGGGGTTCAAGGATTAGCTATAGGTGAATCTCCTCACTTTCCTGTTCCTCTTCTTTCTCCTTTAGCAGAATTTCCGTTCCTCAAACCAGATCTGATACTCCAGCTGGAGCGAGGGGAAGCACCATGGGGCCCAGATCCCTGGACACTGCTTGGGGAAGAGGCCCTGAGAGGTATATGTGCAGGTAAGCAGGAGAACTTAGCATCTTTCTTTCCAGCTTTGCCTCCGGCTTTTTTTTTTTTTTTTCAAATGATTATTTTATTTGTTGTTGATGTTGAGAATAGACACAGCAGAACATACACCAACTCTACAGTTTCTGCATGTACAATTCAGTAACATTGATTACATTCTTTAAGTTGTGCAACCATTCTCACTCTCTTTTTCTGAGTTGTTCCTCCCCCATTAACATTATCTCACTGCCCCCTAAGGTTCCTATCTAATCTTTCAAGTTGCTGTTGTCAGTTTGATCCATGTAGATCTTAAAAGAGTTCCTAAACACTGAATTACAAATTAGCTTTTGGAAGAAAGCTTGTTTATAAATTGGAAATGAATGATTTCCTTTTTTCGAAAGATACTAATTGAAGTAAATGTAAAGAACCACCCATGGATGTGGTGTGTAGCCTTTCTCATTCAGTCAGCCCTGTTCTCATACTCTCTCAATCCCTTGTGCTATTCAAAGGCTATGTAAACCAAATACTGGTTTCTAATTCATCCCCACTTCTGTCTTAATCGATGCCATTAGGTATGACTTCAGCACTTCAGGTCATCTTGGTGAAAAACCTTTCCCAGCCATCTGCCTGCAGCTGTCAGTGCTTCCCTTTGCCACAGCTGCATATCGTCTAGTTAGTCTACTAAGGGTTTTAAACAAGCACTGTCCGGTAGAACTTTCTACACTGTATTTGCACCATGCAATATGGTATTCGCTAGCCACGTAGTGAATGCTTGAAAAATGACTAGTGTGACTGAGGAACTGAATTTAAGTTTCATTTAATTTTAATTATTTTTAATTTAACTAGCCACGTGTGGCTAGTGCCACCACAATGGACAGAGTAGCCTTAAGCAGTTAAAAGAAAAGCTTTGATCTGCTTTTCGAGTTTCTGTATCAGTGGTGTTTCAAACTCTAGTGATCATCAGAATCGCCACAGTGGCCTTGTTAAACACAGATTGCTGGACCCCACCTCCAGAGATTCTAATTGGGTAGGCCTGAGGTGGGGCCTCAGAATTTGCATTTCTAACAGGTTCCTGGAGTCCTGGTGGCACAGTGGTTAAGAGCTTGGCTGCTAACCAAAAGGTCAGCAGTTCGAATCCACCAGCCGCTCCTTGGAAACCCTATGGCGCAGTTCTACACTGTCCTGTAGGGTTGCTATGAGTTGGAATCACCTTGATGGCAACAGATTTGGTGTTTTTGGTTTAACAAGTTCCCAGATGCTGCTGCCCCTGGCATCACACTTTGAGGATCATTGTTCTTAACTATCTAGAATCATGTTTCTCAAACTTTGAGTTGCAACTCCTCAAAGAATTGTGACCAGCATTTAAAAGTTAGACTAGACTGTACTAAACTTGAATAAAATAGACTAGAGTAGTATAAAATATATCAAGAGCGCATCACTGTTACGTAAATATTGTTGTGAAACTTTCGTTTCAGTTTTGTGTGTGTGTGCATGTAACTATGTGTGTACTGACTCGTGATCTAAAATGTGGATCATGGTCAGAAACATTTGAGAAACACGAAGCTAGAAGTTTTATGTCAGACCTTTGGAGCCCGTCAAGTGCTTGAAAGGCAAAAAAGTTTCCTGTGTTGTTGTGGCACCAGTGAGAGCATGAGGCTTCCACCTTCTTGACCTCGCCACCCCCACCCCATTGGCATCTCCAGCCCTGGAAGGGTTCTTGACCAGACAGGTCTTTTTTCTTTCAAAAGTGTGTCTCCAAGCTGCACTCCTCTCTTCCAGAGTGCAGTACATGGTTTGTTTTTTTTTTAAATAGTGGTCCTCTTGTGAACCTTTCACAACTGGCAGTGTTACAAACCAGTTTCTCCCCTGTCGGGCTTGTGATAGAGAACATCTCTTTAAAAAATTACAGAGCATTTTAAAGTATTTTGACAGGTTTCACGTTTTCTCAATTGGGCCTTTGGATCCACAGTTGTAGACAGCATCTTCCAGCCCCCTGGATACTGCGTGGTCCTAGAGCTGTTTACCCAGCTCTCCCTTTTCCAGTTTAGATATCTCTCTCCTCATCTTCAGCTTCCTCTACTTTTCTTCATTGCCTTTCCTTTCTGCAACTTTCCCATTTTTCTTTCTCCATTTGCCTCAGTTAACAGCCTCTGCTGTCTGTAATGTTGTCGTCTCCCTTATGGCACTGCTTGCCTTTTTCATGTCTAGTGTCTCCACTCTCCCTTCAAGCACTATCAAGTGACTACATCTCTCTCCAAAAATATGTGTCTTCAGGACAAGCTAATACTAGTCAGTGCCTTTCCTATTCTAGTGTCAATAATAAGTGACTTGGGAGTAGGGGAGGGATGAATAGTTGGAGCACAGGACATTTTTAGGGTGGTGAAACTATGTGGTATGATACTATAATGGTGGACACATGACGTCACACATTTGTCAAAACACATAGGACTGTACAACACAAAGAGTGAACCCTAATGTAAACTATGAACTTTAGTTAATAATGTATCAATATTGGTTCATCAGTTGTAACAAATGTACCACACCAATGCAAAATATTAATAATAAAAACAGTATGCAGTGGGGAGGGGAGCATATGAAAACTCTATTTTCTGCACAATTTTTTCTGTAAACTGAAAACTGCTCTAAATAATAAAGTTCTGTTAGAAAATAACAAGTGGCCCTCGTGCTTTCTTTTTATCATGCTAGGTGATAAGACCAAGCCTGACATTGAGGCCCCACCTCCAAAACTGAACATTTCTGAAGAATCAGAGTCCCCTCGACTGATACTGGCGAGGCTGCTGATGGATGTCCCCCAGCATCCTCACTTCAAGGACAGGGTAGAGAAGCCACACGTTTATGATACAGGGAAGAAGACGAAGTCAAAGAAAGGAGATTTTGCAGATTTGAGAGCCCAGGATGGTAAACCCACCACCGTTGACAGGGAGGAGATAGCCAGGAAATTGGAAAGAAGCAGGGGTACCAGCACCCATCTCATTACAAAGCAGAGCCTTCCTAGAGAACAGGTGTTTTATAAATGTGGTGAGTGTGGCAGAAATTTCAGCCAACATTCAGACCTTCACCAGCACCAGAGAATTCACACTGATGAGAAGCCCTACCAATGCAAAGAATGTGGGAAAGCCTTCAGATGTAACTCAAAGCTGTCACGGCATCAGAAAATCCACAGTGGGGAGAAACCTTACTCATGTCAGGAATGTGGGCAAGCCTTCAGTCAAAATTCCCACCTCCTTCAGCATCAGAAACTTCATAGTGGTGAGCAGCCCTACAAATGTAAGGACTGTGGGAAAACCTTCAGCTACAACTCAAAACTGATTCGGCATCAGAGAATACACACTGGGGAGAAACCCTTTAAATGTAAGGAGTGTGGGAAGGCGTTCAGGTGTAGCTATGACTGCATCATCCATGAGCGAATTCACACTGGGGAGAAGCCCTATGAATGTCAGGAGTGTGGGAAAAGATTCAGTTCTAATTCAGTCTTGATTCAGCATCACAGGATCCACACTGGGGAGAAACCTTACAAATGTAAAGAGTGTGGCAAGGCCTTCCGCCGGAGTTGGGTATTTCTTCAGCACCAGAGGCTCCACACTGGGGAAAAACTCTATAAATGTAATGAATGTTGGAAAACTTTCAGTTGTAGCTCACACTTTATAGTACATCAGAGAATCCACACTGGGGAAAAACCATTTAAATGCCAGGAGTGTGGGAAGGCATTCAATCAGAAAACCACCCTGGTTCAGCATCAGCGAGTTCACACTGGGGAGAAACCTTATGAGTGTAAGGTGTGTGGGAAAGCCTTCAAGTGGAGTGCAAGCTACATTCAACATCAGAAGTTACACACTAGGAAGACACCTGTCCAAGTCATAGCACCATCCCCAGTGGAGCCCCACTGCCCCTCTGAAGTGCTTTCCCCTCAGCCTCCCCAATGTGCGTGTTCTGCCCCGACCATCCCAGGGTCTCCCCCATCATCTCCACATGCAGTACTGCTTCCATCCCTCGATGTCTCTCTTCATACTGTTCCCCTCATCTGAAATGGCCACTTCTTCACCTGTCCAGATAGTACATTTCTTTCAGGATCTTGCTTCTCCTGAAACTCACTCCCTGTGATCTCCCTCTTCTCAACTCCCATTGTACCTTGAGTTGTCTGGATCATGTCTTTGTGTGTACTCTTCTGGTCTTATGTAAGTTATTATTGCTTTCCCAACTCCATTTTAATTTCTCACAATTAAGGACTATGTTTGATTACTCTCTTTTATCCCCTGGGTAGGTAGTGGCAGTATTTGTTCTTTATATTGTCCAGTTTTGACCATCAGTTTGCACCTGCCTTCTGGGGCTACTGGAGTTGGAAGAGTTTGCAGAACATTTTGGGTTTTAGGGGATTATGACATTACAGTGAGATGGACCATTGTAATTAGAGAAATAGGAGAAATGCAAAGCCCCTAGCAGGAGGTTATCATAAAGTCTCCAGCGATTACTTCTAGGATTTAAGGAAGGCCATTTGGTGGGTCAGTGAGGCTCACTGTGGGGATTCTGAGCCCTGGAATTTTTATTACCCTGATAATGACCATTATGAGGTTCCTGTGTAACTGCGATAGACCAAGAAAATAATCAGCAAAAAAAATATGCAGTGGTGAGTACACACAGAAAGCAATATGAAAAATTATGTTCTTAAACTTGATTGGGAGGGGATGTGATTCTTCTGTGTGGGTTCCTTTTTATTCCCATCCAGATGACTAATTTCAGTGCCCATTCAAATATGTAGGGACCTATACTAATAGTCCATAGGAGCCCTAGTGGTGCAGTGGTTATATGCTTGGCTACTACCTGAAAGGTCAGCAGTTCGAAACCCCCAGCCGCTCACTAGCAGAAAGATGTGGCATTCTGCTTCCTTGAAGATTACAGCCTTGGAAACCGTATGGGACAGTTCTACTCTGTCCTGTAGTGTTGCTGTTATGGATTGAATCATGTGCCCCAAAATGTGTGTCAACTGGGCTAGGCCATAATTCCCACTATTGTGTGATTGTCCACTATTTTGTCATCTGATGTGCTTTTCCTATGTGTTGTAAGTGCTGCCTCTATGATATTAATGAGGAAGGATTAGAGGCAGTTATGTCAATGAGACAGAACTCAATCTACAAGATAAGGCTGTGTCTTGAGTCAATCTCTTTTGAGATAGAGAAGCGAGCAGAGAGACCAGGGGTCCTCATTACCACCAAGCAGGAAGAGCCAGGAGCGTGCATCCTTTGGACCCAGGGTCCCTGCACAGAAAAGCTCCTATACCAGGGGAAGATTGATGACAAAGACCTTCCCTCAGGGCCAACAGAAAGAGAAAGCCTTCCCCAGGAGCTGGCAACCTGAATTCGGACTTCTAGCCTCCTAAACTGTGAGAGAATAAACTTGTTTGTTAAAGCCATCCACTTGTGGTATTTCTGTTACAGCAGCACTAGATAACTAAGGCAGTCACTATGAGTCGGAATTGATCGACAGCAGTGGATTTACACTAATAGTCCACACCTGCCCTTTGTGTCCATGGAACTTAGAAGATTTGGAAGACACCTTGGGGTATTAGGGTAGTTGAGAGTGAATCTGGGAGTCTGCTGGACTGCTAACCAAAAGGCAGGTGGTCCGAACCCACCCAGAGGCACCTTGGAAGAAAGGCCCAGCAATCTGCTTCTGAAGGGTCACAGCCCTGAAAACCATGTGGAGTGCAGTTCTACTCTGCAACACATGGGGTCACCATGAGTCAGGATCAACTTGATGGCAACTGTTTTTTTTTTTTTTTTTTGAGAGTGAAACTAAAAGGAACAGGAGGAGGACTGCAAAACCAATGGTACTCTTATGCCTTAATTTTTTTGTGCTAGTCCTTGGTATGTAGATGGTTTATTATATATAAGAAGCCTTGATCATGGTGCTAGACTTCAGAGATCCATCTCACAGCAAGATGGCTTTTTATCAGTGATCAGATAAAAGAGAATAGGGGCCCGTAAAGAATAATGCCTTTATTATTATTTATGTTACACAGGAATGTAACATCTTTGAGTGAGAGGAAAAAACAACAAAAACTCTTAACAAACATTACAGTCAAGAAGGAAAATGTAAAAGACTCTTTTCTGCAGCACTTTTTAGGAATCAAGTGTTGCCAGACACTTGAGGACTAATGGAATTAATTTTAAAAATAGGTTTTAGGCTTACAGTCAGAACAGGAATATTGGGTGAATGAAAGAATACAGGCTGATGGGAGGAAAGGGATTTCCTTAGAAGAAAGCTTGAGTTCATAAATCAGGCCAGGAAGATACATAAAGGAATAGGATATCTTTATTGATAATTGTCCCTAAAGATGTGACTGAACATCTTCGTTATTTGAGGGTGTGCTCCAGCAATAGAAGGAAGAATGAGGAGACATCATATCCAGGACACCATGGTCCCGTTGTGGGAAAATACTGAAGACTCAGAATGACAGTTGTGTAGCAGGGCTAGAAACTCCTCATATCAAGGAGACAGTGGAAATTTTAAGACATCATAAAGTAAAGCTGGACAATGGATAAGAAGACCAAAGAAGAATTGACATGTTTGAATTGTGGAATTGGTGAAGAATACTGACTATACCACGGACTGCTAAACGAAGGAATAAATCTGTCTTGGAAGAAGTATAGCCAGAATGCTCCTTAGAAGCAAGAATGGTGAGATTATGTCTCACATAGTTTGGATATGTTATCAAGAGGGATCAGTCCCTGGAGAAGGTCATCATGCTTGGTAAAGTAGAGGGTCAGCGAAAAAGAGGAAGACCCTCAATGAGATAGAATGACACAGTGGCTGCAACAAAGGGCTCAAGCATAACGATGATCGTGAGGATGGCGCAGGACGGGCAGTTGTTTATAGGGGCGCTATGAGTCGGAATCGACTCAACGGCCTCTAACAACAACAACAAAGTCAAGTAGTGTAAAGGCAATTCAAAATTCAAACAAACGTACTATAAAAGAAATGTAATATTAGTATACCATTTGGCTCTGCAGTAAATAATGCTTACAGAGCTGGGAAAAAGGCTTTCCAGGTTGTAGGAAAGACAAGGCTGAGATTTTGTTGAGAGACATCTGGGCACTGACTGTCCTTTTCTTTCCCTGGCACCCACCACCACAATGGTACTGCCACTTAACTGAACCTAGGTTTATTTCAGGGATAAAAAAGGCTCAGATTTATAAATATTCCCTTACACAGAAGTGCATAATTTGTGTGGGTGTGGGTGTACATTCTGATTGACTTACCTTGAGCTTAAAAGCATAGTTCACGAAAAGCTTCTCTGACCCAGAAGGACCCTATCCCATATTCTGTGCAGGCAACAGCAGCAGAAACTGTGAGGAGTATTCTTGCACCAACGGAAGCTCTGCTGGGATGTGCTGCACCTGCTTCTACACTCTGTGGTTGGTTCATTTCCAAAATGATTTGTAAACCAGGGCTAATTAAATCTTACCTGTGAATGTGAGTGTTACATTAAGTTCTCCCAGGGAATTTGTACTTAGCTAGTCTGTAGCAGTGATAATTTTGCATTATTTGCATTTTCATATTTCTTGAGGCTTTACTCTTTTTTTTTTAATGTGAAATGGCAATTTTATTTTTTCCCATACAAAAATTTATACATACATTGTTATGTGACTCTAATTGCCCTCCCCATACTGTGACAGCACACTTCTTTCCACCCCTGATTCCCCATGTCCATTCAACCAGCTCCTAACCCTCTCTGCCTTCCCATCTCACCTCCGGACAGAAGCTGCCTGTTTAGTCTCTTGTATCTACTTGAGCTAAGAGGCACACTCCTGACGAGTATCACTTTATGTCCCATAGTCCAGTCCAATCCCTATCTGAAGAGTTGGCCTTGGAAATTGTTTTAGTTCTGGCCTGATAGAGAAGCCAGGGGCCATGCTTTCCAGGGTTCCTCCAGTCTCAGGCCATTAAGTCTGGTTTTCTTACTAGATTTGAGTTCTGCATCCCACCTTTCTCCTCCATCCGGGACTCTCTGTGTGTTCCCTGTCAGAGCGGTCATTGGTGGTAGCCAGGCACCATCTAGTTCTTCTGGTCTCAGGCTGATGAAGTCTCTGGTTTATGTGGCCCTTTCTGTCTCTTGGGCTAATACTTTCCTTGCGTCTTTAGTGTTCTTCATTCTCCTTTACTCTAGGTGGGTTGGGACCAATTGATGCATTGGTTATTTTCCTTGATTGTAGATTTGTTTATTTCATCCTGCTTTTTTGTTTTATTTGGTTATGTCTGAGCAGGCGGGCTGTGCCTTCTTTGTTGTTTGCTCATCTGTGGGCATGATACTTTTCACCTTCTCCAATGGGCAGGGTCAGTCACTCAGATATGGTACAGCAGGGCAGGTGCAGCTGAAGGGGAGTTGCTGGGATGGGTTGTTCATGGCACGTACCAGGGCTGACAGTGCGGACTGGGAATCAGTGCAGGGCAGGTTCCAGTAGGCTGTGCCTGTGCAGCTTGGGAGTGTGATGTTCAGCGCACAGTGCAGGTAGGAAGGAGGGAGTAGATTGTGATGTGTGGAGCTAAGGTAGATATGGGAAAGAGGAGAGAGAGGACAGAGGAACAGGAGCCAAAAACAAACCAAAAATAGTGCTAAGGGAACTTGCTATTGGAGTGGAGAGATGAGAGTCTGAGAAGTGGGGAAAAACAAAAATTAAAAAAAAAAAGAAAAAGGGTAAAAGAAGAAAATGAATAAATCAAGAGACTGGAAGTGAAGACAAAAAGGAATAAGAGAGAGAAGAAAACAAAACAAAAAACAACCAAAAAAAAAAAAAAGACAAGAAAAAAGAAATGCCCCCAGGGATGTCCCTGTGCGTGTGCACAGAGTAAGGGAGTAGTGCCTGGCTGGAAGGGGCTCCCAAGCTGAGAAAAGAAAAAGAAAATAAACAAACAAAACAGAACAAATCAGAGCAAACAAGTCCCAGGAGTCCCACCAGTGTGGTGGCATGGGCCGGGAAGCAGTTTCACAGTCGAGCGGTATTTTCGCGCAGCCTTTCGGGAAGAAGCAAAGATGGCACGAGGAGCCAGCTATTTGAGAGAAAGGAGGGGGGAGGTAGTGAGAGGTAAGGAAGAAATCTAAAGAAGTGGAAAAAAGCAACACCAGCAGCCAACAAAAGACACTTAGGGAGCCGACCAGTGCGGGCAGGTGGAATCCAAGCGACACTGGGGTGAAGCTGGTGCTTCCTGGCCAAGAGACCTAGGGGTGGAATGGCAGGGTCATAAGGTAAGTGTATATTTAACTTTTTAAGAAACTTCAAAACTTTTACCAAAGGGTCATGCCGTTTTACATTCCCACCAACATAGTATGAGAGTTCTCATCTTTGCCTGCATTTAATATTGTCAGTCTTTTTAATTTTAGCTATTCTAATAAGCATGTACTGCTATCCATTGTATTTTTAATTTGCATTTCCCTAATGAATAATTCAGTTGAGCGTATTTTCATGTGCTTATTTGCTTTCCCTGTATCTTTGGTGAAATGCCTCTTCAGATCTTTTCCTGTGTTTTTATTGCGTTGTTTGTTTTTGTTGAGCCTAAAGAGTTCTTTATATAGTATGGATACAAGACCTTTTCAGATATGTGATTTCCAAATATATTCTCCCAGTCTGTGTTTTGTTCTTTCATTCACCAAAGAGTGTCTTTTGAAGAGCAGATGATTTTAATTTTAATAACATCCAGTTTATCGATTTTTCTTTTATGGATCATGCTTTTTGTGTTGTATCTAAGAAATCTTTGCCTTACGCAAGTTTAGGAACGTTTTCTATTTTTCCT